TTGGGTCTGCGGGTCCGATTTTCTCCCTGCCCACCGCTTTTGTTCAACCGTAATACATTTGAAAGCTGGTAGAAATCGGATCTGCCGTAATATAGGATTGGGCGCGGATCCAAAACAAAAACATAATCGGATCGGCCTGGACGGAAATCTGATCCACAGAAAAAACAACCAAAACTTCAATTGGACCCGCGCGAACTTCATTCGATCCGACGGCGGTTCTCATACCGAGTGCTCAATTTTTTTTGACTGTCGTTTCGGGCCCCAAATTTCGTCTTGGGGATGTATGTGGACTGCCGTTGACAGAGACAGATAGTTCTTTGGGGAGGAGGGGTTCGGGCACGAATGTCTATCACGGTCCGCGTCGCCAGCTTCGTCACTTACAAAGTGCGACATGGGGGGTCGGTAGGTGTCCACGGTGATGGCCGCGCGCTCCAGCTCACGAATCTCTCTGGCATTCTGCCATCAGTGCGCGCTGTCGGCGCTGTGTTGTAATGGGGTGCCGTTCCGTGTGCTGCAGCTACGCGGCGGCCTTCTGGTTTTCGGGGCGCGTCTCATGGCGCATTGTTCATGCCATGCGTGATCTCATTGCGTGGATCATGCGGCTGCGTGGCAACGGTCGGAGCGGCAAGTGTGTTTGGTCTCTGCGTTGCTGGAACGACCACCTGTGGGCATGTGGGTTCGATGCGCCCTGTGCACGCTTTCTGCTCTGAATACAGGGGCCGTCGTGGTATCACGCGGTTTTGAGGAAGTGCGGACACTGTAACAACGCCTTTACCCCAGCAGCTCGTGGCTGGCCTGGCTCGGAGGGCATCCATCGTACTATGGTTCAGAGGAGCACAGATGGGTCCAAAGCTGAATGAGGCCTGAGGAATTGCGTGCCCACCGAGGGATAGGACGGGACGGAGGGTGAGGGTACGAAGGGGGATGTCGACATTCAGAACGAGTCCGACTTTGGTGCGTTCCAGGAAGGAACCAGGGAGGATACATATTCTTGTCGAGGAGAAGGAGGAGGAGGAGGAGGAGGAGGCGGCGGAGGATCAGAAGCAGGAGGAGGCAACAGGAGGCGATTTGGAGCCGAATGCGCGACTTCGTGAGCGGGAAGGCGGAGGGATTCGGAAGCAGTCATTGGGGGATGCGGCCGAGGCGCACCCAAACACGGCGAAGAATCGCTTTGGTTGGGTTGATGCTGATCTCGACAAGAACGTGAAAGGTTATGGGGCTTTCTTTGGCAATCTTGATGTTGATCGAGTAGACTTGATTAACCTCCCTGGGTGGAGCGAAGTGGAGTATACAACTGCCTGGCGGCTTCCTGTTTGCTCTGTCGATGGGGGTTGTGTGATCGACTATTTGTGATACGCAGCTGTTCCGCATTCTGCACGCCATAGGGTCCTCGATTAGCCTGTGCCCCCCAGGGCCCAGGGACATCAAGCCTTAGAGTACGACAGGGCTCTGATTTTGTTTCGGCTGCCGTAGATCCCTAAGTTGTTGCCAGGCGTTGGACATTCCAGGTTCCAGCCTCCTGGAGCCGACGATACATGGCGGGACCTTGGACCAGCGGGCGCCTGAAGGAAGTACTGGAAGTTAGATTTGGATGTGTTTCTGACAAATGGTGATGGATGTATAACGGTCTTCGTCTTCCTCCTTATTTGTGCGATTACACCACGTCATCTTCTCCTCGTTTCCTCTCTTCTTTTCCGCCTCCTTGTCTGGCCGCCACTCTGGAGAGTGGTTCGTGGATTCTTATGCGGAGCTCGAGCCCGGGGATTGCCTGTATATTCCCTATCAGTGGTATCACCAGGTGGCGGGGGCATGCCAGCCTTTACCCTTTGCAGCAACTCTGCGAGCGTCGTCCCCAGGGCTCGGCATCTTCGGGCGGCTTGTGCGAGCGCTGACAGCATTTTCCTCTGAACAGCGAAGCCTCTGTGGGCAGATTGTCCATGGCACTGTCTTGGTGGACGGGGGATTCCTGGCGCATCGCCCCAGCTCTGCCACTCCCTCTGGCAGTTTGTTGAACGCCGCGGGGCAGCAACATGTGGCTTTCATCGGTGTGCGCCCGTAGGATAACTACCACGCGACTCGCCCATGCGTGCAATCATTGAGGGCGAAAGCTTATTGTCGTTCGTGCAGTGGCCTTGCAGCTTGTGTACGTGCAGCCTTCGTAGGCGTTGCGATGTGATGTTGTGATGTTTGTTCCAGCAGGTGCAGACAGGTAGTCATAACCATTACAGTATGCCTGCAGCCAAAATCATCTGGTGATTTCCCAGTTGCTTTCGGCAAATCCTGCCACTGTGCCAGCGCAGTGCCTACGTCCAGGTGGAGAGGCGAACCCGGGAATCGCCGCTAAACTCGAAGTGATTGCGGTCGAGGCCTGGAACCGCTTGAAAAGCGTAACCCGGAATCCGCACCGAAACCTGGAGTTCCGCGCGAAACCCGGAAACCACGAAACCCAGAGTCCGCACCGAAACCCTGAATTCTCGGCGAAACGCGGAATTCCTCGGGACCGAAGGAACCCGCACTGAAGCTTGGCATTCTGCGCAAAACCCGGCCGACCCCCGCAGTCGCGCAGGAGGGCAGGGCTCTCTTCGTCTCTTTTTGCTTCGGCTGCCTTCCTACGTTGGTGAGACTCTAGCGCGGTAGCTGAAGCGCTCCGGTGGAAAGCAACAGTGCGCGGCCGATGTAGGCAAATCGACTCACAAATCAAGCAGACGGTGCATTCAGTAAAGGTCAGGCAAGCCGAGAAATAACAACACACATAGCCCTAGAGGGTATAGAGTAACGCCGCATCGTGCGCTAGTGCCGCACGTGCAGGCCAGGTCGCCCACTATAGTAAAGACCTGCGCGACGGATTGACTTGATAGAGAGAGATGGAGAGACAGCGACAGAAAGAGAGAGAGAGAGAGGGCAACGCAGCTAGACAAGGATAGATATAGACAAATCCAGAATTCGTCTAAGACATGAAATAGCATAGTCAGGCTGGCTCGATGCAGGCTAGCCAGGTGATGTGGTTCCGGCTACCTCCTCCTCCCACTTGAGCCGCCTCCTCCTCCCACCCAAGCTGCCTCCTCCTCCCACTCAAGCCCGAAGAGGGCTCTAGGAGAGGCCTAAGGCTTCAAGAGGGCTTCAGGCGGATTCCAAGAGTGAGGATCCAAGTAGTGACCCCCGCCCCCGGCCAGAAAAAATTAGTAAATGACCCAAGCCCGCGTGTGGTGAACAACGTAGTGCTTGGCATGACTATGACCTCACCCTGGGCGGGGTAACGAGAATGGGCGCGCGCGCACAAGGTCGCTCGCATCGGATGCATTCGGAAGTGCGGCGAGCACCATGCGCAGGGATCGACTGGCCCGAGGGCGCCGCAACGTAAAACATGCTGCACATTGCAAGCCGCGCCACGCCCAAACCATGCAACACATGTTAACAGCGCGGTAGCGACGCAAGAATGCGCACGGAAAGCTCGGGCCAATACCGCGCAGACTTGTTGCATCTCCGCTTCGCGCCCGCCTGCGACCCGTGCGGGCCGCGCCTCGTGGGCCCGCGCGAGGCCAACGCGAGCCTTGCGCCCCCCCCCGCGCGAGCTTAGCGCGATCCTTGAGCAAATCCTGCGAAAGCGCTGGGCCATCCCTGCACAATGCCAAAACGACCCCAAAAGGAGCTTCGCGCGAGCCCCGCGGAACCGCGCGCAGACCCCGCGAGAGCCACAGGCAAACCGCGCACGAACCCTGTGAGCCTTACGCGAACCCCGCGCAAGCCCCACGCGCGCCCCGCGCGAGCGCCGCGCACCCCCGCGCGAATCCTGCAGACCCGCGCAAACCCTGCGGAGACCCTCCCCCCCCGGGGGAGCGCGCGAGCCCCGCGGAACCTCTGACGAACCCCGCGGAACCCCGCGAAAATCACTAGTGCCACGCAAAGCCCCATGAAGTCCCCGCCCGAACCCGGCGCAAGCGCCGCGCGAGCTCCCCGCGAACCCCGTGGATCCGCGCGGGATTCCGTCGACGGCCCACTTGACCTCGGTCGCGGGCCCGCGCAAATCTCGGGCGAACCCTGCCAGGGACACCGCGCAAGCGCCACGCGAACCCGCTTGAAACCCCAGCGCGGCATCCGCGCGAACTCCACGCGAGCACCACGTAGCCCGCGCGCGAGCCCCAAACGAGCCGTAAAGGCACCGCGCGGGCGTCGCGCGAACCAACCCTGGAGCGCAACCAAAATCTGCAGTCGAGCAAAACATTGCCGAGCACCGCGTCCACAGCAAGGCCCCCGGCGAGCGCGATCCACCGCCTGGTTGCCAACCAACAGGGAGCGACAGCAACCCAATCTGACACACCGCCCGACCACGCACTCGGAATTCGGCGCGAGGCGGCGGGTCGGCCGCGCAGGGGCGCCCGAGAAAGCTCGATGCGCTCCGGCAGCCACGCAGCATGGGCCGAAGACGCGAGAGTTTACGACCGCCCTCCTGGACGACCGCCCGAAGCGCCTAGAGCTCGGGGCTAGCGGAGAACGGCGGCGCGAACGAACGAGCCGAAGGGGCCCGCCGCCGAGCAATCAGAACGTGCGCGCACCACGCGCCGCGCGCGCTAATTCCTCGATTCCGCAGTGAGCGCGCGCCTGAAGGGGCGCCAAGCGCCAACCCCCCAATGCAAATTTTAGGAGGCGGCGCTCGCGGGCGCTCTCTCCCAGCGCGGGCGCGCAGATGCAAGACTACAGCAACTCGGGCCTTGAACCAAAACGGCTCGGGGGGGAGGAGGGGGGCGAGAGCCGCGGGGACGACGGCGAGGACGAGCGGGGGGCTCAGGGGAGAGAAGGCGGGGAGGAAGGGCGGAGGAGGGATGAGGGAATGGGGGGGGAAGAGGGAGGGGGCGGGGGGAGGGGCAGGAGGAAAGAGAAAGGAAGGGATTCGGAAGACCAGGGGCAAGGGGAAGACGAGGGAGGAAGGCGAATAATGAGCACGTGGGAGAAGCGGAGTAGGGGGGGAAGCGACCGGAAGGGAAGAGGCGGACAGTTGGGGAAGCACAAGTGGAAGGGGAATGAATGAGGGAAGAGAGGGAAAGCAGGACGGCGGCGGCAAGCAGGCAGCAGGGAGCCAGCAGCGGTAGCAGGGGCAGGGTGCGGGCGGCGCAAATCCCCGCGCGTTTACACGGGCGTCCGATCCAACCTGCCGAGACACCTGGTCGCCTAGCCTCTGCCACGCCTGCCGCGGCCCCGGCCCTTGCCTTTCGGCGCGGCGCCCTTCCCCCGGCCCTTGGCCGCGGCGGCGGCGCCTCCGGCGGGCCCCGGGGCCTTGGCCAAGCCTGGAGGAAGCGGGTCCGCCGCTGGCGGGGCCGCAGCGGCCGGGGCTGCCGCGGCCGGCGGTGCCCCTGGGCGCGGGGCTTCATTGGCGGCCTGCGCTGCCTTGTCACGGGCATCCTTGTCTAGCTGTTCAGGCGGGAAAAGGTTGTCGACGAAACAACACTCTCGCAAGGCAACTCGATGAAGGTAGCTGTACTGAGACCACAACCTTCGTAGAACATGGAGGGCCGCTGCCCGCTCTGACCCCTCGATCCCAAAATCCGCCGCCGCTCCCGCGGCACGTCGAGGCGGGCGAAAATATTTGGCGACTCCGCGGCGACAGATTCGCCCTGTGTGGGCGGGAGCCCCAGCGCTCCTTCTCGCGAGGGCCCCATGCAGACCCCCGTGCTTCTGAGGAGCCAGCGCTGCCCCGAGAAAGCTCCGAGACGGTCGCGAGACTCGATCATGCTATGAGCGCTGGTACCCGCGTGGACATGCCGCAAAGCACCCAGCGTGTTTCCACGTGCCCCCAGGACCCCGCGAGGCCCCGCCCCCCCCCAAAAAAAAAAGCTTGCGCGATGGCCCTGAGAGGCCCCGAGGAGGAGACTGGGTCACTGACAAAATCTTCGCATGTAAGACTCGTGATGTCACTGGTGAAATCTAATTTGGGGTGTAACGGTCCATCCGTCAATTCAGGAAGCATCCTGGCTCGAGGCGGACCTTTCGAGCCCGCTTCCCTGGACAGCCCAGGCGGCACGGACGATAAATGTCACGGAGTCGGCGCGTCCCCGACTTCGCCCACGCACCCCTGTAGCAACGTGTCGAAACGAGCATTTCTCGAAGCCTCTGGGCCCTCCGAGCCCTCCACAGATTTACGAAAACGCAACGTCCGAGTCCAGGGCAGACGCCCTCCCCAGCCATCCATCGGGAGAGCCTCTGAAATCTGGATCGCATGCGCCTCGCCGAGAGCTTTCTGGAGGCTGGTCCGGCTTTCCCTGAAAAAAGCTTCCCTGAGCTGGCACGCGGCAGACCCCTCAGGAGCGCGACCGACAACATTCAGCATCGGCCATTACACCGATGGCTCTCCCTCCGATTGCCTCGGATCACCGCGCCCCCGCCCCAAATAGGCCCGACCTCCCTATCGGCCAGTGGAGACGCAGACGAGTACGGGAAGACGAAAGGACAGCGGAATGGGAGACGCGGGGCCAATCCCAGAACGCCCTGCGAAGGATGAGGAGACGAGTGGGAAGAGACGAGGGGGGAGAGACGGGGAAGGGGAGACGAAAGAGCAGCGGAATTGGAATGGCATGAATTGCTACGGCGTCAGACCGGACCAACCGGACCATTTTAAACGCACGACAATCTCCATGCGGCGGAATCACTGACGCATGGGTGGCACGGCGGGGCGTGCCGCAGGCAGAGCGATAGGCGCTGCATCGCCTGAACGGCGGGCAGTGGCCACACCAACCCTGGCCTATATTGTTTCTCCAAATGGACGCGCCGGGCGGCACGAATTCTCGCACCGCTCGCTGTGGCAATGCCTCAGGCACGGGGACGCGCGGCCTGTGCACGGCTGGCGCCGCAAGGCCAGCCCTGTGCCTCGCCAAACTCAAGTCAGTAAGAAGCGAATCAAACACTTCCTGCTCGTGCTGCTGGGCCTTCTGTTCGGTTCTGATCTGTCGCTTGTCGTCGGGGGTGCATAAGTCCAAACCGTCGTCCAATTGCAACAGATCTTCCGCGCCCACTGCCCTCTCGGAACCCATGCGCCCAAGACGCAGAGTAATGATGTCAATGGCAGCGTCGCTGTTGCAGCCCAGCACCTTTGTGATTAGGCACATCAACACGTCGAACATCTTGGTGCAAGAGCCCCCCTCGTCCAAAAGTGCGCCTACGTGGTCCATGAGCTTCCGAAGCGTAGTGATACCAAGATTCCAAAAACCAGCCTCTGCCGACGGGCAGCTCAAAATGTGCGACCCCTCTTGGCATTGTTCGCTGCCCAATTCGGTTCCCAGTGACATTCGCCAGGTGGCGCGAACCGAACTGGGCAGTAAACAACGTCCAGAAAGACGCACACACGCACACAGTGAGCTTGCCACAACCTGTGCGGCTGACGCCAAGATTGGTTGAGGCTCCTTGATCGTGGGGAAAGCGCGAACTTGGGCGAAACGACTCCATGCGGCTGCCCTGGCAGTGGGGTGTTCCACCCATTGCCACAGTGGCGATCGCCACTCGTACGGGTACGACTCCCACTCGGTTTCATCGACGATGACGCCGTAATACACCTTGTCGGCCTCCTCGGGGACGAAACAAATCGTTGAGTGCTCATCTGGCAGGTGCTGTTCCTGCGCCGGCCAGAGCAAGCACGCAGATCCGAAGCCGTCGCCCAGACAGAAAAACCACTTCTCTGGATCGTCCTTGACCAACGGACACGAAGTCTTCCGAACCTACGAGTCTCACGGGGACGTGGCGCACCCCCTTGTGCCCACACACTGCCGCCTCAATTACCCCTGCCCCCCTCCGCCAGGCCTCTGTCCCTCCTCCACATCGCCCTCCCGCTCCCTGCTCCCTCTGGTTCGGGTCAGCTGCTGTCTCCGCCGCTTGCCCGGAGTGCGACGCATGCCAGCCCGTCGGCTTTGCCCGCCGTTCCCTCCCCCTCCTCCGCAATCCTCCTCCTCCTCCTCCTCCTCCTCCCCCTCCTCTCCCAATCCCTTCTTCTTCCGTTGAACGGCGCGCACGGGCTATATGAGGCCAGCAGGTGTTCCAACGCAGTGCTGCTTCCCCCGAGCAGTCGCCCAGGCAAATACATCTGGCGACCACTCCCTTATTATCCTCTCCCTCCTCCTCTTCTCCGTCCTGTTCGGCCCCCCGCCCTCGGGCCTCCGGGGGCGCGCGGGCCCCCGCGGTGCCCCGCGGCGCCTTTGGCGCGAGATCCCGCCTGAGTTTCGGCCACGTCCGCAGGACAGATCTGCTTCGTCACCAGGAGAGCATGGCTTACCTCCCCCACCCCTCCTCTGCCCACTCCTCCCTCCTGATATTCCTCCCTCTGCCTCTCGCACCCTCCTCGGGGGAGAAACTCAAGGCCCCCCCCTTCTCGCCCCCTTCCCTGCCCTCGCTAAGGCTGGGCTTATTTTATTACTACTACAAGGGCAGTGCGTGGACAATCGGACGGCGCGCGAAACGTTCCCGCGAGACAACGCCAAATGATTCCCGCGCATAAGGCAGGACAGCCACCGATGATCTGCCAGCAAGTCCCACGCCTTGTCAGCGTCATCTGACAAGCTCTTGACAGACCGCAGCAAGAGCAGGTCCAAGAAGACCACTGGCATCTCGTGGGCCCCTGTTTTCCACCAAGCTGTTTTGTCGGTTTTGCCGACGATGCCACGGTAGGGCGGGTCCTCGTCGTCCCATGTCTCAGCCCTGAACGCATCCTCTGGCAGCTGCGTGAAGCCCTGCCTCCGAGAGAAATACGAAGGAACGACCTCGTCGACCTTGTGCCTCTTCGCCAACATCCCATCGCAGAACTGAGTATTGCACAGGGTGTGAATGCAGGTGCGTTTGTTCCTGGCCAGCGTCACCGTGTTCTGGCAAATATTGAATCCATCCTCCGCGGCCTGGCTCTGCATCCAGCGGCTGAACTTGTGGGTCAGGAATCGATGCATCTCCCCGTCCACCTTGTCCCCTCGAGCCTTCAGAGCGATCTTCAGCTGCTGCACCGGGAACAAATGGAAAATGGAGCGCTGGTGGATGTCCTCCAAGTCGGCTCCACGATGAAGCCGGGCTTCCAAGTCCTCGAACAAGTCGACGTCGCGCAGAAAGCGCTTGACCTCCTCGTCGCGCCGATCTCCGAGCCAAAGAACTGCCCTCTGAGGCCACCCCTCGAGCATCCACATCCAGCTGCACAAGCTTTCGTACAGCACGTTCAGAGACAGCTCCCCCATGTGGGTGGCCAGCTCCTCCTGGATCAAAACGTGACCTCTGAGCGTGTCCGCCGTCGCGGGACTGGCCTCGACCATCTCGGCCACCTTGGCCGTGCCACGCATGAAACCAAAACGTTTCAACTTCGACCATTGCTGGAGGAGGCGCGCGGTCGAGTTCAACATGTCCCAGAATTTGCCGCCTGACAACTGCTCCGTCACCCAGGGAATGGACTCCTGCACGCCTCGCAGGCGCGCGTTCGACTTCTTGCACCATTCCTCCAACGGCTCCAACACAGCACAAATCATCCTTTCGATGTTCTGGTTGTTCACGTCGGCGCGGACCATAGTGCCAACAACCAGCAGGTTGGCGCAACACTTTCGGAGCTCGCGTTGCTCGGCTGTCTGGTCCACCATCTTGTCAGAGTGGGTGGTGGCCCCCAGGGGCTCTGGTTTTTTGGCTAGCAGCTTCTCGAAACTCTTCCCGGACAGCAAATCGCATTCCAGGCAAGTATACACCTGGCACAAGTACCTCTCGTGCCAGAACTCGTCGTCTTCCCGGCCCTCCTTCAGCAAAGCGAACCACCTGACCAAGTTTATGGGGGTTCCCTGCTTACGCCACGCCTTGTTCTGCGCCATCTGCTTCCACGCCTCTGATGCGCATGCGTCCTGGTCCATGGGCAATGCATTCGGGCCTTTGTCTCGAACGATGCGGGGGAGCACATCGTTGAACATCGGGCAGTCCTTCGGCTTCGCAACCTCCAAGTACTCGCCGAATGCTTCTTTGCATTTCGACATCTTCTCGGCAGAGTCGAAAGGCCCGTGACGAAATACCCACAGCAGGAGCATGAGGCACTGGTGGCCCCAAAGCTTGGATGCCTTGAGGGCCCGCTTGGCCGCGTTCCACGCGAGGTGGTTCATCTCGGGAACGAAGTCGATGTTGCTTTTCACAGGGACGTGCCTGCTGAGGAAATGGTACGCGGCGATGATGTCCGAGCCCTCATCTGTGCACCAGCTCGCAGTGGGCCAGGTCAGGGCGTTCGGCGGCAAGCTGTCCGCCTTCAGGTGGTAGCGCCTAAGGCCCTCATAACGGAGGCCCTTTTTCACCTGGTTATCAACGGCTTTGATGACAGAGAATGCTTTCACGCGTTTCTTCTGGGGTGCCTTCCATGCCTTCGCTGACTTCCCTCGCTGGAGCCATGCCCTGGCCCTCGAGTACCAGTCCTCTCGCTTCTGCTGCGCAGCAGCAGCGGCCTGGGTCGGCTCCGCGAGGTCCCGGTCGAGAACGTATCGCGGGAGCTCCTGCGGGATGGAAAATGCAAGACCTCTGGATCGGGGGCCCTCGTGAAAGCGGCTCTGAGGCCCCAGAAAGAAGAGCTCCCAGGGTCCAAAAAGAAAGGCTCCAAGACGGCTCCAAAAGGGCTCCAAGAGGGCCCCGAGAGGGCCCCAAGACGGCTCCTCGGGCCCCAAGACGGCTCCAAGAGGGCCCCGAGAGAGCCCCAGGACGGCCCCAGGAAGCCCCAAGAGGGCCCCCGGACGGCCCCAGGAGGGCTCGAAGACGGCCCCAGGGGTCCCTTAGCACCTAAGAAATAATAATGTTTGCCAGAAGTTACTTCTTTGGTGCTAAGGAGGGGGGGGGCGCCCCACCAGGGCCCCAACGCGGCCCCAGGGGTCCCTTAGCACCTAAGAAGTAACTTTTGCCAACAATTACTTCTTAGGTGCTAAGGAGGGGGGGTGCGGTCGAACATCCGACCTTGGGGACCCTGGAGCCTTGGGAGGGCCCAAGAGGGGCTCCAAGAGGGCCACCAGAGGGCTCCAAGAGGGCCCCAATACGGGGCTCCTTGGGTGGGCCGTGCAAGAGCGCATGGAGGCCACCAGAGAAGACCCAAGGAGCCCCCAAGAGGGAACCCAAGGAGCCCCTCAAGACGGCCCAGGGAGCCCCCTAACGGGCCCCCAGAGAGCTCCAAGATGGCTCCAAGAGAGCCCCCAGAGGGCTTCATGAGCCCCCCAAGAGGGCCCAACAACTTGTCACGAAAAAGAGCCTTGTTCGTGACAAGCTGTTGGGCCCTCCTCGGGGGCTCTTGGAGCCGTCTTGGGGCTTTCGGATGGGGCCCAGGAAATGCCCACGGGGGTCCGAGAGGGACGGGCTCCGGGGTCCCACACAGATGGGCTCTGGGGCCCCAGAGAGGAACAGAAAAAGGTCCGGGGGCCCGACAAGGCGGTCTGGGGTCCCAGAGGTGAGAACCTCTGTACTCTGTAAGACAAGTGGGCTCTGGCCCTCCAAACAAAAAAGGCTCTGAGGTGCAAGACAGAGCGGCTCTGAAGCCCCAAAGAGGTGGTCCCAGACAGAAAGAGTGGGAAAGAGGCTCTGGGCCCCCAGACAGAGGACCTGCGGGGTCCAAAAGCGAGGGTCTCAGGGGTCGGGGGCCACGGGGCTCGCCGGCTGAATTCTGCGGGCCAGGGTCCACGACGGGTTATTTACTAAATTTTTCTGGCCCGGGGCAAAAGCAAGAAAACACAATGTTTTTCACCAAGAAAACTGTTTAGTAAACAAACCAGAAAAGTTTAGTAAACTTTCTGAACGCCAGCCAGGCTCCTGAGGGAACAGCCAGGCGCCGACATTCGTGGGCCACAGGACCGCGCAATCGTGGAGAGAGCGACGGCCGATGGTCGTGCCATCGAACGTGAAGCTCACGGGGGAGGCGTGATGCAGGCGAGCCTGCTCCAACGTTCCAACCCAGTACGCAACGGACTGGGCATCGCGGGCTCTGGCGGCGTCGTCCTCCGAAGGCTCGATCAGCGACAACGGCGCGCCATCCGCGGCACCAGGGGCCGACTCATTCCACAGGGCCTCCAGGATCGACTCCGCCAAGCCCCCGAGCCGGAGCGCCAACTGGAGGAGCAAACACGTCATGTCGGCCTTGACCTGCTTGTCCTTGTGGTCGTGCGAAGCCAGGGTCACAGCGCCGAGTAGCTTCACGAGTTTGACAGGACGGCGATTCGCGAAGGACGGATCCGTCTTCGCCCCTTCCAGGAGGACAGCGCACAGCGAGGCCGCGACCGGGGGCGCGCCCACCACCCAGCAGGGCGAGACGTCCACCATGCCATCACTCACCTTCAAGACGAAAGGCTGCGATCCGCCAAGAAAACACGGGGGCTGCCAGAAAACGGAATCGGTGTCCCCGAATAAATTCAAAGACCACTCCGCCACGACCAGCGCATCCAGGAACGAGTCCAAATAAAGTCTGATTGACGCCCTATCCGATTCCAACTTCAAGCCCCCGCTGTAGTCGGGCGCGAATGCGCACCTGGCCAAGATAGCGACGAAAGCGAAAGTGCTGCACGCAGCCCAATCAGCACTGTTATCTCTGGAGTCATGACGACCGAACTGAACTCCTCGAAGCACTGAGCCTGCCAAGCCGATGCCCGCTACCCACTTAAGCCAGTTCTCAATCCGCCTCGACACCCAGCCGCTGGCAGGAAACTTACGTCGCGTGCACGCTTTCAATTTACACCTTTCGTGGATCCCTTGCAATCGCCACCACCATCGGGAGCCATGGCGAGGCAGCACGTGTCGGCCGACTGCATGCGCCACCGTTGTATCCAGCACACCCGTGGGCCATTCAACCTGGCGGGGTGTGAAATCAGCCTGCGCCTCGACGAGCTCGCGCCGAGTCTCTCGACCGTTTGGCAACTTGGTCACCTAGAGACCGCACAGGCCAGGATGTCCATCCCTGGCCCCTGATGGCCCCGAGTCGCACCATGGGGTCGCACCAATCATCACGGGTGATGCTGCGCAAATGCAATTGCAGACGTACCAGTTTTCAAAGCTGCGCCCAGTCGCGGCGGCGAGGGGCCCCTTCGGAGATCCTCGGGCCGTTCTTGCATTCCGTGAACCCTTTGTTGACCAGGGGCCAAGCAGGCCCCGTCTACGCTCGCGCCTCGGGGCCATCAGGGGCCACGGATGGACATGGCATGGTTTGTGCAATCCTCAGCAACCAACATCCGAGGGCGCTGAGAAGCATCTGCGCCACCCTCAGGGCAACCAGCCTCCACGGCGATCCTCATCGCCAACTGCTCGCTCACCCACATCGACTCGACCTCTTGATCAGGACTTTCGTTGTCGAAAATGCCAGCGAAACCATCCACGTCTACGAGCTCCCAGGAACCTGTCGGTAGTGGGAACACCTCCCCCGTAACAAGATGGACCAAGCACTTCCGCCGAGATGCAGGATCAAACTCTAAACGAACATCGCCGAAATCTGGAACATCCTCCAGTTCCGTCGATACGATTTGGGAAGCAACGGATGTGCCCTGCGTTCCAGATCCCGCACCGGAGCCAGATGCGCCTCCGAATGGGACAGCTGGGCCGCTGCTCGAAGAAGCAGCCATCCGGCGCAGCCAGACAAACGTGTAACGTGTACAGTATGTACGGAGAGGGGTTCAATGGCAGATGAATGGGCGCCGCCGAGTGGCTTGAGCCCTTGTGGGACCGCCAGGGAACCCTCTTGAGAACACCACGGGGATTGTGGACGCCTGGGAAATGCGAGAGGACCCCAAAAGAGCCCCGAGAAGATCCCAAAAGAACTCCGAGAATGCTCCAAGAGAGCTCCAAGACGGCTCCAAGACGGCCACGAGACGACTCCCAGGGGTCCGAAGACCACCGAAGAGCTCCCCAGGAAATCCAAGAAAGCCCCGTGAAAGTCCCCAGTGGGCCCCAAAAGGCACCCCAAAAAGAGGCACACTCGTGCATATACTTTGTGCCTCTTTCGCGTGCCCTCTCGGAGCCCTCTTTGAGGCCTGCTGGAGCTCTTTCGGGGCCCTCGGGAACCTGTTTGAGGGACCTCCCGAAGCTTTCCGACCCGCCGAAGAGCTCACTAGGGAGTCCAAGAAGGCCCGATGAGGGGCCCGGGGGGGGGGGCCAAAAGGCACCCCCAAAAGAGGCACACTCGTGCATATGCTTTGTGCCTGTTTGGGGGGCTCTCTCGGAACCCTCTTGGAGCCCTGCTGGGTCCCTTTCGGAGCCCTCTGGGATCTGTTTCAGGGAGCTCCCGAGGCTTTCCGAATTCCCGAAAAGCTCCCCATGGAATCCAATAATGCCCCATGAGGGCCCCCAGTGGGCCCCAAGAGGCACCCCAAAAAGAGGCACACTCGTGCATATACTTTGTGCCTCTTTTGAGTGCCCTCTCGGGGCCTTCTCGGAGCCCTGCCGGAACCCTTTCGGGACCCTCTGGAGCCTGTTTGAGGGACCTCCCGAAGCTTTCCGAATCGCCGAAGAGCCCACCAGGGAGTCCAAGAAGGCCCGATGAGGGGCCCGGGGGGGGCCCAAAAGGCACCCCCAAAAGAGGCACACTCGTGCATATGCTTTGTGCCTGTTTGGGGGGCCCTCTCGGAGGGCGACGACGACGGCGACGACGGCGACGACGGCGACGACGAGGGCCCCTGACTCACACAGAAGCGGCGCTAGCAAGGTGGAGGCCGCTTGCGAGAGGTGCGGAAATTCGGACAGCTACTATGACATCATGCGGAGATGGGCGCCCCGCAACTGCAATGCAGGCCCCCGGTATTTCATGTTTTTCCTCCGCCGACGATTGGACCACGGCGCCCACTCAGGAATGACAGGGGGGGCCTGCTCAAGGGATCGACGGGCCTCCGCCGCGGGGGTGACCAGGGTCGAAAACCGACGGGCCGGCACCCCCCAAACCTGCCAGCACTCCCCCCCAAGGGGCACAAAAATCGACGGGCTGGCATCCCCCAAAACTGCGACCAGAAAGAGTCCGACACAGACGGATGGCATCGCCAAGCAGCCCCCCCCCCTCCCCTCTCCCCCGCCTCCCCCGCCCAATCCTCCTGCCACGCCCCCGCGCGAACCACGGGCGGCCGCCGCAGCGGGATCCAAGGGAAAACGTTTATCCCAAATGGCGTCATCCTGCGACCGTCTCCGACAGTGGGGCCAGAACAATTCGCACAATATGGTCCGTCGGAGCTCCCCTATGCCATACGTACGTGCCAAAGGGCGCGAATAGGTAGGCGACCGCTTAGATTGCCACAACGCTGCTCGTAGACACGATCGGACGCACCGTAGTTTCGTTGTCAGGCAGGGCGGGGTGCGATGTAATTTCTCCAGAAGCCCCCGAACCCCCCCAGAGCAGCGCAACACTTTTGGGAGGCTTCGGCAGCCCGAATGCGCCTTCAGGGCCCTACTTTCCACCGCACTGGGGGCGAGCAGCTTGCACGGTTACGCATTACGTTTTCGTCCATCTTCCTCCCCCTTCATCCCTCCCTCTCCCCCTCCTCCCCCCGTCCGCCTCCCTCCCCCCATTTGCCCTCCGTCTCCTTCCCCTCCTCTTCCTGCGACCTCCGTCCCCGTCCGCCTCCCTCCCTCATTTTGCCCTCCGTCCCCCAAATCTTCGTCCTCCTTAGCCCCCTCCCACCCGCCCCGATCCCGTTCCGCCTGCCCCCGCTCAGACTCGAAGCAAGCAGCCGACGAAGACACTGGCATAATATTTCCCCCTGGCGGGCGCGCCCGCTCCCGCTCCAGATTTTGCAAACTCCCCACTGGCTACAAGCAAGCACTGGTCGCAGCTCGGCCGATGAGCTGCGGCCCACCCGCACGCGCGCACACATCTGTGTGGCGCCCCCGCTGCAGGCAGACGCGAGGAGCCCGCTGACGATTGCGGCAGGCTCTCGTACGCCCTCTCAAGAATCCAAACTTCTTGCCCAACTGCTACTCTCAGGACTCCTCCTCCGACGCAGCGGCCGCTGCCGCCGCCGCTGCCGCCGCTGGCGCGGCCGCCGCCGGTGCGTCCGCCGCTCCCCCGTCGCCGAGGGGCTGCGCGGAGGCGAGCGGGTCCTCGGCGGCCTGGACGATGGAGCCAGTCGCCACGACCTTCCTCTTCGGCATCCGCTTCTGCAAAGCAAGCTTTGCCTGATCAGACTTGCGCTTCTTTGCCTGGGACTCGATGTCCTCAGCGATGCTCCTGGGGCCAGCGGCCGCCGCCTTCGCAAGCCTGTCCTTCTCCTCTTGCGCCTTTTTGGCGTGGCCCTCGGCCATCTCCTTGTAGAGGGCCCCCTTGGCATCGACGATCTCGGACCGCCAGGGCCCCTTTCCCTTGGCGAACCTCTTCGCCAAATTCTCCCCCTTGTCGTTGGGGTCGTCGCCGAGGAGCAAGGCGGCCTGGAAATCGTACGCATTGTCAAGGATGCGAATGTTGTCCACATCAATGGTCCAGTACGATGGGGCCGGCGCCTGGACACGGCGACCACGCAGAGCTCACAGGAACTGAAATATCCCTAGTGTGTATCTGCGTCGGTGCATCGCGTGGCGGGCATCGCATGCGGCCCTGGCCATTGCATCGAGCACAATGCGCACTGCAAATAATGCGCGCTGCATGTGGCCTGCGTCGGGCGCTGGCCCTCGCTTGCAGCGCCCGTCGCGCACGCATTGGAGCATTCGTGCGTGGCAAACGGCGTGTACACGGGATGCGCTGCATGCTTCGAGGCGCGCATGCGCACTGCACTGCGGGCGACCCGCAGCATCGCACGACGAGCGTGCGGGGCAGCACTGGTGCGAGGGACTGGATTCGCATGAGACATCTCACAATCGCTGCCAATCCCGATAACAAGTTTCCCTGGACGCGGACCCCCGTGACAAGGAGACGCACGCTACGGGGCAACAGGTGCGCGTGATATGTCGGGCCTGGCCCTGTGCAAAGGAAAGCACGCAAGCAAGTGGCATGGCGCACTGCAGCAAGCCCCATGCGCGATTCCAGTTTGGGCTCTGCGTGGCGCCTTGTCCCCGGTGATGTGCACGATCAGAAACTTACCGTCGGCTGCGCGCTCCACCCAGTAGCACCCAGCCTTCGGCTTCCCCCAGTAGAGCTTCGGAGGCATCTCGAAGTTGTTCGTTACGAGCTTGAGCCACTCCTCGGACAGGCGGCCGAATTTCTGAAGACGCACCACCCAGACGCCGTCATTGATCTCCTTGTCCAGCATGGCCCTGGGCAGTTTCATCTTCCCGTGCTGCGCCAGGGGGAAGTCGGTGAGCTCCATGATGCCCGTGTTGGAGGAGGCGTCCAAGGCCAAGACCCACTGCTCGGACGCACCGTAACGGGCGAAGTGCTTGATGACCCAGTCTGCGCGCCAATACTTCGCAACCTTCTCCAAGTACATGTACGTGCCGGGCCATGTCGGAGACTTCCTAGCTTCCGCTGCGGCCTTGGACGCGCTGGTGATGCCCAGCATCTTGTTCTCCGTCCAGTCCCGCGCGCCCTCGACTAAGTCCTCCCTCTGGTTCAACACGTCCAAGAGCTTAATCTTGTTGTGGAAGATCTTGGTCAGACGATCGTCCTCCTCTTCGTCCCCAGTCGGCCGAGGCCTTTTCAGGAGACTCCTGGCGTCGAACTGGCCACCCGACAAGGCTACGCGCGCCACCTCGCTATATTGGATCGCCGAGCTTTTCTGAGGAGACCCGCCAGGAGAGCTCGGGACAACCATCGTGGCTGCCTGTCTGGACCCACAGCGGGATTGAGAAGCCGGCACTCGAACCAAAACAGCTTTTTCATAAGCAGGAGATGGAGCAGCAGCAGCAGCAGCAGCAGCCCCGCTTCTCTTGACAGGGGGGCAAACACCGAGTCGAGCCTTTCCCGAGCACCGCTGTCGGAAATGAAACACTCGGGGCAGCGAAGAGCAAACTACTCCCAGGGGATGGCACGCGCAGAACTTCAAAAATCCGCCGCCACGCCTGCGCGACAATGGTGTGTTAGAACGCCTGTGAGCTATCTGGTAGGGTTCTGTATTCGTCCAGGGCCCCCCGTCCCCTGGTAGCACTTCGCTGCATGCGCCGTTCCCTCTTGTAGCAGCTCGTTGCGTGCAGCCCCCCTTGCCGAGGCCCCCTGGGCGCCCCGAGGCCCCCTCTCCCGAGCCCCTTGGGTCCATAACACGGCCCTAGCATCGCTGGAGGCACCTGGATAAACTGCAATTGACAAACCACCCAGATCGCCAAGAAACACCTGCACCCCAGAATCCGATCATCGCGTGGGCCCCGCACAAATGGTTGAGTATTGGAGCATGGCGTGTGAAATCGAAGAGTTCCATGGGCCGCCAGCCCACGGGGGGCCATGCCACCATGGGAGGCCATGCCATTGGACCCCAAGCAACAACACAGGGCCGATCACTTTTAGGACGCCAAGACATACGGACCATAGGTTGCCAGCACCTGCGGCCGTCCCCGAAAAGTCTGGCCACCGAGGCTCCACTCGCACACCGCCCCCGAGCTGGTGGTATTGATATTCTTTAGGTCGCATGCGATGTCTGCCTGTTCTTTCCCCTCCCTTCCTCCTTCCCTTCTCCCCCCCCCCCGCCCCCTCCCCCTCTCTTACGGCTGCTCCTTTCGAACCATACTGGGCTGAGTCTGGAATTGGGGCTAATACAAGCCTGCTTCTCTGTTCCTCCTCCCCCCCACCTCCAGTCCTTCCTCCTTTGCCCCACTACCCAAGCCCGGGGCTATTGCTAGGTTTCTGTTTTTAGTACCCTGCGGTCGACATCGATCGGCAAAGTTTCGGCCACGCTCGGAGGACACACATGGAGGGAAGCCAATGGAAGGCCAGCCATAGGAGGCCATGGAAGGCCCAGCATCCATGGCCGACCTCGAAAGACAGGGCCAATGGGGCGGCAGGCCAGAAGGAATTTACAGGGAAGCCATGGGAGGCCAAATCGTAGGAGGCCATAGGAGGCCCAGCACCAGCGACCGACCCCGAGAGGCACTGGCATTGGAGAGGGAGGGCATGAGAAAGCCAGAGGAAAACCACTGGAGCTAAACTCACCGGAGGCCGCAGGAAACCGCACACCCGCGGCCGACCCTTAGAAACAGCGCCATCACGGCGGGAACCCGTCGCAAACCAACGGGATGGCATAGGATGCCCAGCTACAGGGATCCATAGGGCGCCGCACACCCACGGACGACCCTGAGAGACAGGGCAACTGGGGCGGAGGGCCACTGTGAAACAATTGCTGAACAAAAGAAACACAAGAAACCCAAATGAGGCCATGGGGCGCCAAGCACCTGCGACCGACTCTGGGAAACACTGCCAGGTACTTCAAAAAACAAGCAGTCTCTAAGTGCAAGAACTGTTTGGAGAACTTGGGAAGCACTCGGGACAATTGCTCAATATATCGCTGGTCAAAAGTGCGGGGGCTCCCGGGACACGCGTGGGACCTCCGCAAACTTGCTCGGGAGTTTCATAAAGTCTGCACAGGACAGACGCCGCGGGACTATGCGAAACGCAATGGAACAAATGCGGCCCGCGCTGAGCTAGCGGGGGGCCCGTGAGACGCTGGCGCCGAGCTCGCGCGGGGCTCCCTCGGGGCTCGCGTGGAGTCCGCGCGGAACTCACGCGGGGCTCGCGCAGAGATCGCGTGGGGCTCGCGCGGCCTCTCCAGGGGCGCGCGTGGGGGGGAACTCTGGGTTCGCGCGGGGTTCGCGCGGAGCTCGCGCAGGACTCGCGTAAAGGTCGCGCGTGGCCCGTGCGAGGATCGCGCGGGGCTCGCGCGGGGCTCGCGCGAAGCTCGCGCGAAGCTCGCGCGGGGCTTGTGCGGGGCTCGCGTGGGGCTCGCGCGGAACTCGCGCGGGGCTCGCGCGGGGCCTGTGTGAGACTCCCTCGAACCCCTGAGTGCTCGCGCGGGCGCGAATGCGTGCTTCGCTCGAAACCATGTGAAGTTCGCCAAGGGCCCTGACATGCCGCGCGGGGCTCGCGCGGAAACCGAATAACACCTGGGCGCGGCTCGTGCGAACTTGGCGCGGGTCTCGCGCCTGACTCGCGCGGAACACCTAGCGCGGAGTCGGTGCGGAAGACGGGCGGGCCCCCGGGCTGACGACGCCGCGCGTCACCGATGGGCCGCGCTATCAAGAGCGCGATGAGACGGCTGGCGCATCTCATGCAATCTACGCGCCTACGTTGATGCTTCGTTATGTTTGAGACGCGTGAGCGTATTTCTGGGGGGCATTGTGGAGGGCGAACCTCTATGGGTTTTGATGTGAGCAGGGGTGGGGGGTAGTAATCGGATCTAGAAAGAGGGCTCCAAGATGAAGCTCCGAAGCCACACAGTGTGTCATACTGTGCGTTTGGGCTGGACTCTCTTTCGGCCATTTTGGAGTTGTGGAGTCCTCTTGGAGCCTCTTGGGGTCCCAAAGGTTTCGTCCAGGCCCGTCCCAGACGGATTGGGAATGCTATAGCCATTCTGGCTGAAGTCCCCGGCCAGGCATGTGGGCACGGTGGGCGCCGCCCAGCGAGGTCTCCCCCGGTTTCCTTTTCGCAATGGAGGGCACATGGCCCTGGACCGGCGGCGCCGCCCAGCCGCCCGCGCCCGCAAGCGTCCCTCTTCCGTTGATGCTGCTCCTCACGCCGTCCAGGGCGGACCAACAGCGGCTCCCGACCGGGCCCCAGATCCCGAGCTGGGCGGCGGACTCGGAGGGCTACGAGGTCCAGGCGCCTCCCGAACTGGCCGCTGCCGAAGTGGACGAGGACGAGGATGACGAGGAGGCCGGCTCGAGGATGTCCGCCGCGCGCCGTCGCACCATCCGCCGCCGGATGTTGCGCAGGGGTGCGCTCGCCCGGGCCCGCCGCGACAGCCAGCTCACCGGGCCTTCCGCGACCACGTCCGCGGAGGCGGACCTGGCGGCCGGAGCGGCGTTTGTTATCTCGCTGTAGGTCGCCTCGAGGAGGAGGAGGAGGAGGAGGAGGAGGAGGAGGAGGAGGAGGAGGAGGAGGGGCGGGGGGGGGAGGGGGGGAGGTGGAGGGCACCACTGCGCGCGGTCCCCTGCTCACGACGGCTGCCCTCTACCACTGGCTTGCCGCGGAGCCTGACCTCGCCCTATTTACTTTTGCACATTCCACATCGGCCCGTCGCTGTGGCGCCACTCTTCGCACTGGACTTGCGAAGCGGCCCCTCACACCAGACAAGCAGCACAACGGTGCAGCGCATCGACCGACCCGATCTTCGAAGTCCGCTTCGCACGCAGACGCTTGAAATCTGGGATAGTAGAGTTCGGTACAATAAGTGACAGTTTAGTCGTCCTCCCTCACGATTGTCGGGCGTCCCGTCTAGAGGCAGTGTGGCTCGCTCGCCGCGAGCGTCCAATTGTCGTTTTTACCCCCTTCCTTCTCTCCTCATCCCCTTCTTCCCAATGCTGGGTAATTATCCTCTTCCTCCCTCCAGCCTGTGTTCCTTTCTCTGGCACGCAATGCGCAGAGCCGAGCAGGGAGAGAGAGAGTCAGCGCCAGCGCACTGTCTTAGTTCGAACCCATTGCGTCTCTCAGCGCAATATCGTGCAGACGCTGGGGCGCGCGCCCGAAGGGAGAAGGAGGGAAGAGGGAGGAGGAGGGGAGATAAGCGGCAGAACATGAAAAGGTGGTGGAGACCCATACGGCCGCATGAGCGACGAGGAGCGACCGCCGTCCATAGTGGGCGAACGAGCCGCTGGCAGGAGCGCTCGCTTTTCAGCCATCTCTGCTGAAACTCAAGCGTCACGGGGCGGCCGCACCCGTCGATGAACGTTCCACGTCCTGGTTGCGGGGGCCTTTCCCACCCAGGACCCCCTTTCTGTGCTCTGCGTACACGCTTTTGCATGCAAAGTCCACCTTCAAAGGCTCGATCTGCTTCTGTGCAGAGTTTCACCTTTTGCTGACGCGCTGTGGCCGGCGGACCGTTCGTTGGTGCGGCGGCGCGAGGGTGCGAAGACGCCCGCGCGCCGCGCGGGGGCGACGGCGCGGGGCGCGGCGCGCGGCGAGCTGGGAGTGTCGTGGAAGTGCCGCCGCGCCGTGCTTTCCCCGCCCTGGCTTCCCTCGCCTCCTGCAGCCCCGCCGTTGCCTCGCCAGTCTCGGCATCGCTCGGGCCATCGGGAAACATCCTGGACCATCTTGCGAAACGTACACGCGCGGCATCGAGAAATGCACGGGGACTGGACGTCCGAGCGATGAGGAGCAGTTGGTCTTCGGAGTTCCCGCGGGGATCGTGGATCTGCACCGAAAGCCCAGGGGCGGCGCGGGGCTACCAGCCGAGCGCAGCTCCAGGACGATCTCGTGCACGGGTGGCCCTCACGCCCGCCCACCGTCGCTTCCCCGCCTCCACCTATCTCCCTCCCTCTTCCTTTTTTGTGTTCTCTCTCTCTCTCGCGTTCTCTCTCTCTCTCTCTCTATCCCTCCCCTTTCTCGGGGCGGCGTGCGCCGCCTGTGCCAGAACGGCCAGATCCGCGCAGTGGAGCTGCCGGTGTCTGGCGTGGCTCGCTCGCGCGGCCATCCCACCCATGCCTGCCCGGTGGGCCCAGCTGCTCAGGGCTTCAACAGTTGAGCGACGCAGAAAAACGAGTTCGTCTGTGCCGACAGTCGCGCGCAAGTTGCCTTCGTAAGGTCCCTCGCAAGCGCCCTCGCTTCCCACCTGGCGTGCCGCGCCGGCGGCCCGTGCAAGCCACCGCGTGAGGTCACCATGCCATCTTGCGTAGGGCCCGTTTTCTGTTCGTCGCTCCTGTGCTTGGCATGGCGCGCGTCTGTCAGCGAAGTGCGCCTGGCACGCCGCGGCTCCCCCTGGCCAGCGGGCCGGAGCCCCTCTGCTGGCCGCCCGCAGCCGTCGCGCTTCGAGGCTACGGCGCAGTGCATGGAGGAGAAGCCCAGCCATCGCAGAGGACGGGCGCGCAGGGGGTTGGCGTTGCTCGCGCGGCCGTCCTGCGCGGCCGTCCTTGCCGTCCGCCCGCCTGGTCGGCCCCAACTGGGGGGACGCCCTGCGTCGGTAGCAGCGGAGCCCCTGAGGCGGGTCCCCCTCGGCCAGCAACGTGGCCATGCGCGCCGCGTGCCCCGTCGCGGTCTCGCGGCGCTCCTGGCCTCGCGGCCGTCGCAGCGCCACTGTGCGGAGCATCAAGAGAGACGCGCGGGCAGGAGAGCGCGCGATTGGCAGTTCTTCGGCAAAAAAGCGGATTGGGAAGGCCTCAGAGTGGGTTTCAAAACGGCCCCAGGATGATTCCAGGAGGAGGGAACTCCAACGCCACACAGTGTGACACAATTGTTGTGTCACACAATGCGTTTTGCTTGTGCTTTATTGGGCCCTCTTGGAACCTTTTTGGTGACCTCTTGGCCACAACGGAAGAGGCCGAAGAGGGCTCGAAGAGGTCTAAGAGGGCCCTGATAAGGATCCAAGAGGTCGATGCCGTCCTCCATCTTGGCTGCTACAGCGTGTCTTCGCGCCATTGGCTGCCTCTCGGTTGCGAGGGCCTCCTTCGAAACGCGTTTCCCTTGGGCCAAGACGGCTACGGGGGTCAGGAGGAAAGAGGGAGGATAAGGAAGACGAGCCACGAGTCAGAAGGAGGAGGAGGAGGAGGAGGAGGGAGGAGGGCGGAGGGAGGAGAGGGGGTAGGATGTAGGATGCTTGGGAGGACGAGCGAAGAGATGGAGGAGGAGGAGGAGGAGGAGGAGGATGAGGTGGTCCGTAACAATTTTGGCTGCAGCCGTTCTGGCACAAGGCATGGGCTCGAGGGAGCTCCCTTTCTCTGGCAGCGCCATGTCCTGTCGCTGTTCGGCCGTTCGGCGTCAGGTCGCCGAAGGGTCCCCACAAAATGTTTGCGATATCCCCGCGGCGGTCCTGCCAGTTTCCGCAACGTCGCGGGGGCAGTCTTGGCAGTGGGGAGATGGCAGAGGCCGAGAACACGGAGTGGTCGGGTGAAGGGGCAAACCGGAACCCGCAGGCAAAGGTGTCCACAGGGGTCATTGTCAAAGTTGCGGGTGCAAGAAGACGCCTTGGAGCCAATGGTTTTGCAAACACTGCCAGTCATCATGGTCACATCATGGTCAGAGGTCGCCGAGACTCAGGATGCAAATGTGGTTTTGGTTGTGCTCGACAGCCCGCGTGGCATCGCGCCGACGGCCTCAGGGCTGCAGGATCCGCCAGGCGTCACCAGTTAGGAGCCCGCGTTGTCAGACGAGGAGGTCGACAGGTTGCGCATGCTGGCGGCGAAGATGGGGGACAAGAAGCACGAACAAAATGGCCAATGCGTTCGTGAACACAAGAAGAAATTTGCCATGGCGCCGAAGACATCACCGTTGCAAACACAGGCCCAGCATGCCCATCAACGTGTTCAGCAGCTTGAGGCGAAGCTCAAGCAGGAGGCCGACAAGTACGAGCACATCCAGCATGCGCTGGCCGAGCAGACATCCTTGGACATTCTTGGCCGGGCCCCCCACGGAAAAACTCGAGGAGGCGGATGGCCAGTGCGAGCGGTTGTTGGGCAGCTTCCACAGCAACGTCGTCGGCAAGCAGGCGGCCCCGCCGCCGCGTATCTCCGCGTCCGAATAGCTGGAGAGCGACCTCTCGTGCTTCGACCTCGGGGAGTGCGACGCCCTCTTCGGCCAGGTGCAACCGTCGCTGCACGCAGCGCCGGGCGAAGACCGCAAGCAAGCCGCGGGGCGCCAGGAGAAGATGCAGAAGGGGATCCCGGTTCTGGCGAGGATCTTGTTTGGCACTGTTTGCCGAGGGCTCGCGGTCCGATCGCGTGGAGCACGTCAAGAAGCTGGCCGCCGAGAGGCGCGAGACCGAGGAGGAGCAGTCCGCGACGACGGCTGGCAGCGGCGGCCAGGCTGGCCCAGCGGCCGCGCCTTCAGGCGCCGCTGGCCCCGCCGGCCCCGCCGCCGCCGAGGCCGGCGGGGCCGCGGCGGGCAGTCGAGATGGAATCGAGGGCGGCGAGCGAGCTAGAACGTCCTCGCCCCCCTCACGCAGCAGAGCGATGCGCGCCGGGCTGCGCGCGCAGCTCTGGCCAAAGGCGCCGTTGGGGGGAGGGGGGGGGGGGCAGGCGGAGTTGGAGGCGCAGCCGCATGCCAGATCGCCCCAGGAGATGGGGGATCGAGCGGGCGGCTGGCTTGGGGGGGGGGGCGGGGGCGTCTGGCAGCGTGTCAGGTTGCTACCTGGCCTCTTCTTTCTCCCTCCGCCGTCGCCCATGCCGCCGCCGCCTCTCAACCGTGCTCGGCGCGGGGCCTCAGCTGCCGTCGCATCTCGTTCCAAGTAAGGCTGAGGCCGAGAAGTTGGCTCCCTCGCGCACTCGGCCATGCCAGGTGTCGTAGTGGCACTTCCTTTGAGACGAGAAGGGGCGCGCGCCGAAATTCAGTCCATTCCAAACGAAATTGAGCTATTCTTGATGGTTTCGGTGTGCAGGCGCGCCCTGTCACGCGGTGGTTCCCATGCGCATCGTTGAGCGCGCTGGCGCATAACGCGAGGAATTCGCTCTGCACGTTGCGAGGGGGAATTCGCTTTGCGCGTCGCGTGCCAATCACGCGTGGCTTGAGCTACTTCGCAGACGCTGTCTGGCCAGGCCCTTCGAGGGCCCTCTCAGGGCCCGCCGGGGCCTCCGACGGCCCAGAGCTCCCGGCAGCCATGGTCGACAGTTGGCAAAAGCAACGCCGCCGAAAGGGCCGCCGCAAGAGCCGTCGAAAGGGCCGCCGAAATTGCCGCCGAAAGGGCTGCCGAAAGCGCCGTCGACAGGGCCGCCGAAATTGCGGCCGAAATTGCCGCCGAAATCGCCGCCGAAATTGCCGCCGACATTGCCGCCAGGGCGATTGCGAGAAGTGCGCCAGCGTGGCGTGGGCCGTCATCGCGTTGGAGCAGGTGGCCGACGCCTTCCTGCGTGGCGCGTCGGGGATGCTGTGTGAGCCGCGCGTCGGCATCGACGGGG